GTAAGCAAAATCTTCCTGTCTTTTTCTGTGCCTCAGTTACATGGTTACAACTTCTAACCCTTCATGAGAGTTTCGTAAATTTTTCACTCGAGAAGCGCACTTTTTGTGTACATTACTTGTTGGAATCATATTGAAAATTAGGGATTTGTTGGAATTCTTCAGGGAATAAGGGAAGAGAATTGTCACTTGTGTGGTTCTTCTCGGATAGCGTGCACATTTCCAATTTGTTTAAGTGGCAAGGCTTTTGTCGTATCTAGGTTATCCCATTCAAATGGCGATGGCTTTTTTTTGAAATAAACAAAGAGGAGAGGATAGAAAAAAAAGTGATATTTTAGCTTTAGGATGAGTAAATCCCTCCTTCACCAATGACCCGCTCCCAGTGCCCCGAGGGCCTTTGGACCTCTGGTACCTTCGATTTTTCAACAAGTGTGAGTAAATTGCTGTTGTTGCCAATTTCGGCAAATGACAAAACATTGTAGCGTCTGCCGTCGAAGAGTACTCTCTACTGAATAGAACAGTTGTAATCGCATGGCTTTATGACGGGCGAATGGGACGATTGAACTCAGGTCTCAGTATTGTTTTGTCCATCAACTGATTGTTACAATACATTTACCGGGTCTCGCACTATTGAAGAGGCAAAGTGGCTTCTTGTTATGTTGTGTTGTACCATGCTTTGTCGATCTGAATTCGCAGAGACAGGCAATATGCACCGACAGTGACGGGATTTGTCCTCTGTATAGAGCCGCTTGAAAGCCACAGTGTGGGAATCCTTTGCTATGATGATCATCCACTTGCGCCCACGTAACTCTTCATGGTAGAACTCGGGCGGCTTCTCATCTGCATTCATAGAAAATTGACGATTGTGAGTTTCGACTCGAGGTCCGAGACCACCCATATTTCATCTAGGGCCGGGGTGCGTTTTCACAGTTGTGAGTGACATCTCATGCTGAGAACATTACTGCTGGAGGTATAGAATCGGTACTGCGTTCGTGCTTCTATAAGAAAATTAGGCTAATCATGACGTCACACTTTGCCACGTCTCCGTTTATCGGACATAACTCGGGCAGCAGTTGCAGCTGGGATGTCAGACTCGCGGGAAGCTCGACAAGGGTCCAGGCTCTGTGATCAGATATTCAGTGCCTGACTTCATCCACCCGTTTTTCTTGTGCAGGATGAATATTATGGGACCACCGCGACAACTAAATTTTTTCCTATCGTTCCGGTGTACGGGCTCCTGAACCAAATTTTCCACAGTGTATTTCGAGAACACCCTTACACACAACTATGGTCCGGCGCAGGTCAAATTTGAGCAGCGCACTTTCCTTTTATGACGTCTGATTTGAAAAACCGGCGCCGATTTTCACCACTCGGGCTTCTCTTCAATTTCTCGAGAACTTCTTCAGAGGCTAGGTTCGCCAAATTTCACAGATACACAGCTTAAGGTACTAGCTTCCAAATGGTATAGTAGCCCGCTGCTCTATCCCCTTTGCTTTTCTGCCATTCCTCTATATGTGTCGGCCACTTTGAATGGGATGACCTAATAGTTGGCGACTCCAGCCATTTAGTCGCGCGATTCGGGAATCGCGCGACTGCGACAGACCGCGCTTCACTACTACGTTAAAGCGCTGCAATTGCCAATTGAATCACAGTCAGGACAAAACATTTTTCCAACTTTGCATTGGTCCAAAGATTAGCAGTGGAGCGGTCAGTCGCGGTTGTGCGACTGATTCGTTGGAGTCGCGTAGTACGAACAGGGTCTAACGATGTGAAGGCGTAGGTAATGCAGGGTAGAGGTGCCAATCGTGGTCTTGCATAATTCGCTACATGAGCTCGAGGTCCTTAGGTTATGATGTCTTAATTTCCTCCAACTCGCTACCAACAAGGTACTGCCTGGGATTGAGGAAAACGTAGGAATTGACGTCCTGCCAGTCAGTATGAGCTTGAAGCTCTTCACCTACAGTACAATTAGTGTGTGAGTGAGTGTCGAGATGAGCGCAGAATGTTTTATTCTTATAATCTGCTTAGGTGCCTTCTTTGTTCCAGCTCTTTCTTTTAGTGATTGAATGCCATGGACAAAGCGCATCAGTTTCTTCTTTATTCAGGGATTTGTAGGAGGATCATTCCTGCAACAGGCCATGTTTCAGAACCCTTCCGGGAATGTGCCCATTCTGAGCTAAGCATTGGATCTCTTCACACGTAGTTGGCTGGTTATGCTTCCTTAAAAAACGCGTCATAAAGTGCAATCGCATTATAGATTAAAGCACGAATACGTGCACTTTTGCAGTCTTGATGTCACTGAACGCAAGGGTAGATAATCTGAGGAGCATTCTGCTTGTACTATAAATATTTCCAAGTCACTAATCTCCCTGAATATGAAAATGTGAAGGGGCACTGAAGGTGCATTGCAAAAGACTCCGAAGATACAAAACGAATCCTAAAGTGTTCGCAAGGATTGATTCTTCCTTCGACTATTCCGGCGCTTAGCGCTTTCCTCAGCGATCCGAAACGCAGCAATCAGAAAAATGAACTTTTATTATGCTGCTTCCAATTGACCTGGATCCTGCCCTCGCTCATGTGGGGTAGATACCCTTACGAGAACCCCGCCTTCTACCCTAGTAAGTAGCTTCTCCGCACTTACGGAGGTAGATACAAGTCAGTTGTAAGCAGCACTATACTGTCCATTTTTCCAAATACTATATTTTAGGATCGCTGACGAAGGTGCTATACGCTGACATATCCTGCTATGCACTGAAATAATCTAAGTAAGAACTGGCTTTTGCATAATATTTTGGATTCTTTTGGATCTTTGGAGTCTTTTGCATGAGAACTTTTGCTGCCTCTTCAAGTTTTCACATTCAAAATCTAGTGAAACTCCGGGAGAGCGTAATACTACCAATCAATTAGAATGTCTCAAGCACCGGGAAGCCCGGATTAATCTTCATCGTGACAGTACACTTGAACACAATTGCTAGGAGGATGTACAGAGTAGTCCATGTTCGACTTTCTTGCAATCTTGGCATGATGTATATAGTTCTTGTATTTCTTCTAGCCTTTCCAAGATTGAGCAACTTTATTGAAGGCCTACGTTTCGGCGTCTTCGCCTTCGTCAGAGCCTGAAATGGTCAAAAAACATTTCGAGACCTCGCTCAAACATTTCAACAATACTCAAGACGATTTCCACATACCAGTAAATCACCCAACGGTATCGATCTAGGGCGGAACGCTGGCTTACCTCGATCTCTACCTCTGCAAATTTTGACTTACCGGGAAGTCGGGGGTGGTTACTAGTAGTTCTTTACTCCACGCTTGAGCTTGTACAGGGTGGTCGTCACGCAGCCGAAATCAAAGAAAGCCAGCGTTCCGCCCTAGATCAATACCGTTGGGTGATTGACTGGTATGTGGAAATTGTCTCGAGCTGAAATGTTTGAGCGAGCAGGTCTCGAAATGTTTTTTGACCATTTCAGGCTCTGACGAAGGCGAAGACGCCGAAACGTAGGCCTTCAATAAAGTTGCTCAATCTTGGAAAGGCTAGAAGAAATACGAAGAACATATGTGCAGAGTGTTGGAAGTGTTGATGACGATGGGCTAGCATTTTCAGAGAAAGCCAACGAGCTCCTGGTTCGTACGCCATAACTGTGAAGACAACAGATGATCACGTTGTACATATTTTGATTCAAAAGAAGGCCGATGTAAGTGCAGTTGTGTTGAAGTTCTCTTATGTGCTAGGCGCAGCAGGATTGATTTTAAAATTGGCTGGAATACACTCTGAGCTTTCTTCAGACTGGGATGTACCATGTGGGAGGTGGTGACGAATTTCGAACAGTTGGCGAGCTCTTGGCGCACTATAATAATAATCCAATGGTTGAAGAGGGTAGCCAACGTGTAGTGCACTTGATGAATGTAAGCTCATTAAAACCATCAATACCATTTCAGTTTTTTTTATTCAAACCGTAAATTGCATCCTAAAAATTTATTGCCTTCAGCTGGTTCCGTCGACTTGCGTTCCTGCAGACGCAATTGACGAACGCATTCGTCTGTTGGAGGAAATCGATCCAGTCACGAAAAAGTCTGGCTTCTTGGAGGAATTTGAGGTGATAGATGTGAAACGTTGTCTTATTATCATGCTGTAGCCGGGCATCATTAGAATCCTGATGACATCAAGACGCGTCGAAATTCATTGCAACGGAACTCTAAAGGCACAAAATTAGCCAATATTCCTGCAATTCCCCCCCCCCCCCTCCAAGAAAGAACCGCAGAGCTTTTGTCTCTCACGATGTCATAGAACAATAAGGTTGCGTCCTTGCTTTGCGACTCGATGCTTCGAGCGAAAAGGCAGGTACAGTTGGTCTGGCCCTTCAAGGAAGCGTTCGGACTTCGAGTTAAG